TGAGTGAAACAAATGTGAATGGTGGAAGGGAAGTAAGCTCCTGCAGGGTTAAACGATGGAGGATGAGGGATGAGATAATGCGAATGTATACGTGTTTGAAGAATGTTGCAACGGCCGAGTGGATACAACATTCACCCCCCGTCCTAAGGGTCGTTGGTTCACGCTTCAGGGCACCGAACTGAACATGGATAGTCTAGGTTTATAGTTGGGGAAATTTAGGTGGTCGAGTGCAATGCCGGAAACAATGCCTCTTGATACACTAAATTAAGGGTTAGTCTACCGGGTTATGTATTTTAACTTGTCTTAAGAGGTCGTCTGGCGTGTGCTGGCCACCTTCACGCACGAGCAATAATAAAACAGAAGATAAAAGAGAGAGGTTCTGGGAAGACATTTACTGCAGTGTGAGGTTCGTTGTGCGAGAGTCAAGTGATGGTAATGGGAATATTAAATAACTAAGAGAAATTTTAAGAAAGTGGAAAGGATTGTGAGTGAATGTGTGTGTGTGTGTGTGTGTGTGTGTGTGTGTGTGTGTGTGTAATAATAATAATAATAATAATAATTAACGGTTTATTGAAAGAGCTTGGCAGCCAGAAGGCTGAAAATATACAGTTACATATTTGGGGAATGGGTTACGAATTACAAATAATATACAAGTGACATAAGTAACACAAATAAGACATATAGTAACTTAGATGGGGATCAGCTCAAACTACAGTTCATTTCAACATAGTGACAGTGTAGGGAGCAGTGTTTACTGGGAGTGAATACACTGATTTATTACATGTTATTGATAATTTTTACAATGGTTGGGACTGGGCTGTGTGTGTGTGTGTGTGTGTGTGTGTGTGTGTGTGTGTGTGTGTGTGTGTGTGTGTGTGTGTGTGTGCCACTGGATGTCATAAGTCGAATGGTTTATGGATAAGCAGTGGTAGACATCTGGAGGTTATTCTTCAGCAGGGTAAACACCACAGAGGAAGACATGGATTAAGAGAACACTAGTGAAAGCAATGTAAGAGAGAGTTAGAGATATATATGGATTTCAGGCTACCATTCCTCGTTTTATTACTATTATTATTATTATTATTATTATTATTATTATTACTATTAGAAGTAGTGGTAGTAACAATAGTAGTAGTAGTACTGCAGGAGACTAAAATTTATAGGAGACGGAAAGCAAAACACCGATGACGTTGCAAGAAAGTTTGGAAACAAAATGCGAGTGGGACAAGTGTCTTTGGCGGTAAGATCTCTCACACAGGAATCCTCCGGTGGGGTTCTACCAACAAACAGATACATCCCCCTGCAAGTGAAGACGAAGGCATCAGGTTCTAGGGTGACTATATCCCACCAAATGCTGTCCTGTTCGAGAAAATAACAGGAGGGATGGTGTGGAAAAAGGCACTGAAGACTCAGGAAGGTGCCGGCCCTTCAGGTCTGGATGCAAACGGTTGGAGAATCATCCTCAGCACTAACAAGTTTGGCCCCGTAGCAAATGATCTCTGCACTGCCATTGCCGTCCTTGCAAGAAAGCTGGCATCCTCGTGCTGCCAACACCTTCATGCTCTGACGGCCTGCCGCCTCATTCCCCTGGATAAGAATCCAGGATGTAGGCCGAAAGGGGTGGGGGACGTGCTGAAGCGGATCATCGGAAAATGCAAAATGGAGGTGGTAAAGGATGATGTCAGGGCAGCAGCAGGGAACCTGCAAGTTTGTGCTGACCACCAGGCTGGAGGGGAAGCTGCCATTCACGCCATGATAACGATATTTGAGCAGCGCGATTGTGAAGCCGTTCTCCTGGTGGACGCTTCAAACGCATTCAACATACTTAACCGCAAGGCCGCACCGCACAACATTAAGATCAAGTGTCCAAGCTTTGCAATGTATTTTGAAAACTCCTATAGGAATCCATCAGACCTGTATATAGTAAAGAAACAAGGCTCTAAGACAGTGGTTCCCAACCTCGTTTGCCCCATGCACCCCTTTCACCATATGTCAGAATGTCATTCCCCCCTCCTTTCCAAGATTGTCTGCCTCAAAAAGTGCATTCCAAATAATATGCATATATTACTGAAAATCCTTTACTTTTTCCATATTAGTATCAGTTTCCCCCCCCCCTTGAAAACCTGAGGGGGGAAATTCCCCCCTGGTTGAGAACCCCTGCTCTAAGAGGTGATACCATCATACAGTCAACCGAGGGAACAACGCAGGGGGACCGTTGCAATGGCAATGTGCGCAATAGGCCTATCCATGCTCCAACACACAATAAAACTTGAAACAACTGAGGTCAAGCAAGTGGCATACGCTGATGACCTTACAGGAGCAGGAAAAGTGGAGGACATCAAAAAGTGGTGGGACCTGGTAACATCACGAGGCCCACAAATAGGGTACCACTCAAACGCCAGCAAGTCCTTCCTCATTGTGAAGCTAGAACATAATGAACGGGCAATGGAGGTGTTCGGTGGAAGTGAGGTCAAAATAACAAAGGATGGCCAAAGACACCTAGGTGCAGTAATCGGCACGACGGACTTCAAGACCGAGTACGTAACGGGAAAGGTGAATGAGTGGGTTAGGGAAATCCAAGCTCTGTCTGAGATTGCTAACACAGAGCCACATGGAGTCAAGCATCGCTGGAACTACCTGATGCGTACTATCCCTGATATAGGACCCCTCCTCCACCCTCTGGAAGAAGCTATCAGCGTCAATTTCATTCCCAAATTAGTGAAACACCCTCACTTAACCCCAGCAGAAAGATCACTCCTTGCACTACCACCGAGACTGGGAGGAATGGGATTGAACAATCCAGAGGAGATAGCTGCCACCGAACAACAAAACTCAGTTAAGCTCACGGCAGCCCTCACAGACCACATAATAGCTCAGAACGCAACAGGGGAGGTGGATACCAATGAAGTAAACAAGATTCGAAGGTCCATTACGACAGAACGACAGCACGACCAAAGTGATAAGTTGCAGCAACTGTTGCTGCAAGTACCAGAGAATTTGAAAAAAGTAGCTATAGCGCAGGAGGTGGGCGCCTCGAACTGGTTAACAACGTTACCGATAAGGGCTAATGGTTTCAGTCTCAATGAACAAGAATTTACAGATGCCAATGCTCTAAGGTACAGTAGGCCAGTAGAAGGTTTGCCCTCCCAATGCGTGTGTGGCTCTTCCTATGACGTCGATCACGCCATGGTGTGCAAGAAAGGGGCGTCATATGCATGAGGCATGACGAAGTAAGGGATCTCACAGCAAATATGTTGAAGGAAATCTGCCGTGATGTCAGGGTAGAACCGACCTTCCTTCCATTGGACGGTGATAATTTCCAACATAGGACTTCAAACACATCCAACGAAGCCCATGTTGACGTCAATGCTCGAGGATTCTGGACGCGGGGACAGCGAGCCTTCTTCGACATCAGGATTTTTTATCCCATGGCCGCATGTCACCGTAACTTAGCTCTCGATGCTGCACACAGGAGGAACGAGAACGACAAGATAAGGGAATACAGGGAAAGAATTCAGAACGTTGCTCAAGGTAGCTTCACTCCTCTAGTGTTCACAACCTCTGGTGGGATGGGACCAAGTGCAAGATGCTTCTACGCCAGACTCGCGGAGGTGCTATTCGAACAGAAGCAGCAGCCCAGAAGTTACGTTACAGCCTGGATGAGATGTCGACTGTCCTTCTCTCTCCTTAGGTCGGCTTTGCTCTGCCTCAGGGGAACGAGAGCATCGGCCCCAAAGCCGACAACAGTTGCAGATATTGACTATGAGGCAACAGTCACTGAATGCCGCATAGATCTGCGGCTCAACTAACTCAACACAGCTAGGATAGCTACTTATGTATTAGTATATTTAATTTTAAGGTAATAAAATGGCGGCGAAGGTGTGGCTATAGGGGGAGGATGGAGGCCACGTAATTTAAACAAGAACAAAAGTAGTTAGTAGTAGTAGTAGTAGTTAAATTCATCATATTTTCATTTACATATCCTGAGTCAAAAAAACATACAGACACATACACGTGTTTCCAATTCATCAGAAGCACCTAAAAAAACCCTGTCGTGACCCGTTAGTAAAAGAACAGTAAAAGAAATAGCTATGTTATGACCGAAGTGGAGAGGCGGTTCAGTTTTTGACAGATTCCCGCCCCAAAAAGAAATATGGCGGTCCTATACATATAAATATAGTGGGAAAAATTGACAATAGAGGGTGTCAGAGAAAAAAAGAGATTTAAATGGACACGAGGGGCGCCAGGGATGGAAAAAGTGCGTGAAATTGTCGACACGGAGTAGCGGAAAATAGTTAGAATTCGTGACAAGCGGAAACTAGCGGAGGTATTTCACCGAGTGGATTGACGACATTACCCTGCACGATGGTGGCCGCTTTTCCTGCACCATACTACACTGCTCTACACCATAGTACAGTGTCCCACACCATACTACACTGTCCTACACCACGATATACTGTCCCACACCATACTACACTGTCCTACACCATACTATACAGTCCTGCACCACGCTTGACTGTCCTACACCACGCTACACTGTCCTACACCATACTATACTGTCCTACACCACGCTACACTGTCCTACACCATACTACACTGTCCTACACCACGCTACACTGCCCTACACCACGCTACACTGTCATACACCACGCTACACTGTCCTACACCATACTACACTGTCATACACCACGCTACACTGCCCTACACCACGCTACACTGTCATACACCATGCTACACTGTCCTACATCACGCTATACCATACATACTACACTATCCTATAATGATTGCCCCCCGTGTACGAGGAAGGTCGACTCAAGGGCCACATAGGTGTAAATTTTTTTAAGGTGCAGAAGCTGTCGCCAACACCCTAAGTTAACGAGAAGACTGGACAACTCGCCAACTAAAACCCCAGAACACAATCCGCAAATCGATTAACATCCAGGTCCCAATTACTGCTGGGTAGACAGACGCAGATGGCGTAAAGAAACTTGCCCATAGTTTCACCCTGCCTGGGAATCGAACCCAGGTCCACTCGCTTGGGAAGCGAACATGCTAACCATTACACCACAGGTCGCCATACACAAATTGCTGTGTGGTGTAATATAGTGTAGTGTGGTGTAGCTACACTACACTATCATACACCACGCTACACTACACTAAGATACTACACTATACAACGATAAAATACACTACACTATATTACACCACACAACAAATACAATACACCACAAGCACTGCACTATACAAAACCACAATAAACTACACTATATTACAGTACAACACGCAACACTACACCACACAACACCCCAATACACTACAAAACACTATATTGTCAGTCTCGCTGTATAGGGTGTAGAGCACACCTTCTGTTGGTGTCCCCTCACACAGTGCACCTACTTACTGTGTATATTACCCGCGCTCAGAGCATTGACGACGAGGGGAGTGTAATCGACATACATGTGTGTGTGTGTGTGTGTGTGTGAATTATAGTCTAGAAACGATAATTTTCAATGTCTCTCTCTCTCTCTCTCTCTCTCTCTCTCTCTCTCTCTCTCTCTCTCTCTCTCTCTCTCTCTCTCTCGATGTACTCACAGTCGAGTCTATCAACCATCAGTAGCACTGACCTGGAAATAAAAAGAAACATCTTCGAAATATTACCATTGTTATATAAAGGAATATTACACTCAAATATGGTATATAGCTTAAGGGTGACCAATTATAATTAAGTAATATAATTTGACTGAAATTATCAATTCCAGTAATATAATCTACCAACCGGTTGTGTTTCACTTAAGAAAAGTTTGTTTTGGTTTAATCTGCTCCTATATTAATGAACAAAAAACTATCATAATAATGTATAGTTGTAATAGTAACACTAAGAGTAGTAGTAGTAGTAATAATAGTACTTTTTATGATTGACGTTTCAAAACCTTGTGTAAAAAAAACATCAACAAAAGCCATCTGGTAAAATAAGTATTACTAACAACAGTACCAAGTAACACAAAAGGAATAGCAACACCAATATTGACAGCATCGGTAACAGCAACAACAGCATCAGAAATAACGTCAAAAGCACCAAGAACAGCTTCAATAATAACAAGAACAGCATGAATAATTACAACAGCAATAACAAGTAACATCATCAATGACATCAATAATAACAACAACGTCATCAATAACAATAACATCAGTAACATTAATAACAACAACAACAAAAGCACAATAATAACAGTAACAATAGCAACAACAGCATCAATAATAACAGTAACAGCATCAATAATAACAGTAACAGCATCAATACTTAATAACAGCAACAATTGTCACTATTCAGAGCATCAATAACAGCAACGACAGCATTATTAATAACAGCAACAACAGCATCACTAATAACAGTAATAACAGCATTTTTAATAATAGCATCATTAACAACAGCATCAATAACAGCAGCAACAACAGCATCAGAAACGTCAACAGTAGTACCACCAAAAACAACAACAACGATAGTAGCATCAACAACAACAACAACAGCAGCAGCAGCACCATTAACAGCACACCAGTAAATAGCAAAAGCCATCATAAAAGTACCTCCAGTACGAATAATCAATCAAATAGCGCCTGGCGTTCACCTCCGTCTGACACTAACGCTACTTTATGACAGCTATAGAGCCAGAGGAATGTTCTCCTCCCCTCTCTGCCTGTACCAGCGGCGCTTCCTCCTTACCAACTATCAGTAGTGTTTAACCTCCATCAAGACACCAATATCCATCCGCTGTGTGTTGAGTCGTTCCCAGGGAGTGAAGGTGAACCAGACTTCTTCTGCAGAAAGTTGATAAGATTATGTTCTTGTCTCTAAAGAGAATAAAAGGTTAGATGATTTTTATTAGAGCGAAAATTAAGGTCCTCAGGGTTCTTAATGGTGGACTTGCTTCAGCCTTGAGCTTGTAAATAACACATTGGAAGATTGACAAATAAAGCCACGACTTAATGAGTACGGACGAGGAGGAACAATAAGTAAGTGTTGAAAAAGAACAAAGGAATACGTCTGAGATAAACCACAGGGTGGAAGTAAGCTTTAGAATCGTCTTAAGGCATCAGGAGCGGATGGTATCACTCGAAATGTTGAGGAAAAAAGTGGTAAAAGAAAAGATAATGAACGCAACGTGTTTATTAGTTATGTGTAAATAAAGGATGATTACCAGTCATTTCTGTGAACGTGTGTTATTTCCCAGTGTTAAGAAAAAGATGGTAATAACCGAAAAAAATTAAACATATAAGTATAAATGGGAAAATACAAAGAGATAGACTGTATTAGGAGATGAATGAAGAGGCTCAGAAATGGAAGAGGATCGTGGATCAAGTGTTTGTGTTCAGGTGGAAGACATCTGGAGGAGATAAGTATTTTGGGGGAAGTTATTTGTGGACTTAAAAAAGCCGATGGCAGAGTTGACAATATAGGAAATACTAAATAAGTACATACGAAATTAATGTAATAAGGCTAAATGTTGTGTAAAGATTCTTTTATAAAATGTGTTGGGAAGAGACGAACTAACTCCTGTTGATAAAAGAACTCGGGGCAAGGAAGTGCAATGGCGCTGTGGTTGTTCAATATTAATATGTATGTGGCGGAAATAGAGATGAAAGTAAGTGTACAGAAGACGGATGTAAGTCTGAAAGCGAGAAAGGCCATGCAAATAGAAGGTGAATTAGCTGCTGTTTACAGATCAAACTCCTTTGACAGCCACTACAAACTGATAGTTGCCAATATCAAAAATTTCGATTGGAAAAAAATGAAAATACAATTAAATTAAAGAGTGAAAATTAGTAGAGAATGGAGAATCAAATACTAGTTTAAATGGAGATAAAATACAGTAATGAGGTGTTAGGTGTCTGTTAGTGGTTGACGAAATGGATCATAAAATGACTTAGGTGATGGAAGTAAGAAACGACAGACATAATGGACTTAAAGGCAACTTATATGGGATGAACAGAATGCAAAGAACAACAAACACAGATACAAAAGAGAGAGAGAGAGAGAGAGAGAGAGAGAGAGAGAGAGAGAGAGAGAGAGAGAGAGAGAGAGAGAGAGAGAGAGAGACACCCCTTCATAGTTATTTCAGCGGTCAAATTGAGAATGTATTAGCTCAGATGACGAGTGGATAGATAGATAGAAAGAAAGATAGATAGATAAAGAGGGGCCACCATTGACCCACACTCCACCTCCATCATCATGACAGTAGTGGTCAGGCTTCTCCCCGCTGTGAACATGTTAGCTCAGGTGATGATTGGAGGGCCAGCTGCGTGAAGGAGGACAGGTAAGTGTTGACTGGTGGTGATAGCCCGACTGAAAACGATGGAGAGAGAGAGAGAGAGAGAGAGAGAGAGAGAGAGAGCTGACTGGATGTAAAGAGAAAATAGTAGCGAAAGAGAATAGAGAACGAGGAAAAGGAGAAAACAAGATAGATCGAAAGAAAGTGAGAGGAAAGACATGGCAAGTTGGGAGAGAGAGAGAGAGAGAGAGAGAGAGAGAGAGAGAGAGAGAGAGAGAGAGAGAGAGAGAGATAATATCCTCAAAGAAAACTTAATACTAGATTACCAAAATAACGACGAGATTAAAAATTTGTATCCTGCATTTAAAAGACTTACGGAGTCGCATTTTGAAAATCGTTCATGAGACAAATTTGGTGTGTGTGTGTGTGTGTGTGTGTGTGTGTGTGTGTGTGTGTGTGTTTTATCAATACAATTCCAATAATGAACAATACACAGAGATAAAAGTTGCTAGTTCTCAAGTGTTTATTGAGTCTGGGTAATCAACACTCGTAATCCGGATTCAAACTACGAACGCGTCCTGATCTGTTGCAGAGCTGGAGTTCTTTGATACTGATCCACTGGTAAGACAGAGATACTTCACTTTTGGTGAGGATTAATATCTCTGTATTTACTTCGAACAGGATGTTATCAAAAGTAGTAGATTAACAATAATTATTTACTATTGAACTTTAAAAAAATATACTATTAGGGAATGTATAGAAAGATGTCGTCATTTCACTTTTCCATTCTCCCAATTTTTCAAACTCACAGTAAATAGCACTTGAATTCACATTGACATTGATAAGAAATATTCCGTAACATCGGCACAGGTACAATCATTACTACAATGTTGCATTATAAAAAATCTGGTGCAATAACAGGTGATCAGCTTGTGATGTATTACTTTAACTATTCCAGAACAATAAACAACATTCAAATGACCCAGAAACTACCAACACAATCATTTGCATCCAACAATGTGTTCAGTCTGTTTCAAATTCATCTCATACGTATAACAAAATTAAATTAATTTTCTCAAAAAAACAAATTTAGTCAATAGCCGACCATCTCTCGGTGTTGACAACATCAGCTTTGCAACTCGTAATTTCATCACATTTTGACACTTTCTGTACACAGGTTACATCAAGTTCACCATTGAGTCGTTGTATTATAATTTCATATATACTGATATTCACTACAAAGACAGAGCGACCCAATAGTGAGAACAAACTGTAGCACCGAACTTATGGTCCTAATTGGCTGATGAACTCCTTCACGGCAAAAAAACGTAATCCTATATTGAATACATTAACACAGGCGACAACAGGATGAACTACGACAATAAGAAAGGAATATTTCAGTAATTCACAGCTTATACAGTATCTTACTGCAGAGGTCTCATAGTTCACCACCGGAGTGTTAATAACGTGTCTCTACACCAGATGTTCAGGAGACAAAATGTTTTCACAGTCACACTTCGTCTTAATTTTGTTTTATACATCGTTATAAAAATATCGAAGATGAGACTGAGAATATATAACCATAGAGTTACCAATTTTCAGCTTTTAATTGCTTTTTCCACCATTATATGAAATAACTGAAGGTAAAAATGTTAAGAGCGAGTATCACTGACGGCTGTTTCAAGGTCCATCTCAACCTCATCCCTTCTGTACAAAAGAAGAGATTGTTGTAGAGGTAGACTACTTCTCTCTCAACAAACCCTTGGTGTTATTATTCCCCCCCCCCCCCAAAATAATAATAATAATA